AGCCCAAGATCAAGGTGTCAGCAGGGTTAGCTTCTCCTAAGGCCTCTCTCCTTGGCGTGTAGCTGACCACGTTCTTGTGTCCTCACCCAACCTCACATTCCCTCTCTGCCCGAGCATCCCTGGTGTCTTTTGACACCACTTTTTTTTTTTTGGTGTATGAACATGCAATTGTCCAGCACTGTTTGCTGAAAGATGTCCTTTCCTCACTGATTTGCATCCTCAAATTCAGATACTATCATCTGCTCTGCCCTCCTCATGTGATTGTAGAAAGAACTCAAAGAGATATGTGTAAATGCGCTCTGAAAAGTGGAAAAGTACTAGAAATCCAAGTCACTATCTTTATTCGTTAGTTCTGAGTATACCCTGACCCAAAGACAAGTAACGGAAAAAGTACTGGGCCGAGAGCCAGAGAACCTGACATGTGCGATGGCCCTACTCCTTTCTTAGCCCTTAAGATATCTTTTAACCTCAGAGCTAGGAATAACAATATCTGTTGGGTCTGCTTCAGAGGGATTTTATGAAGCTTATATAAGATTTTACATTTTAAAATGCTTTGTAAAGTGTAAGGTGCTACAGAAATGCACGATATTGTCTTTATACCTGGAAAACCCCTAGACCACATAATGCGGTCCGTTCTTGTTTACACAGTAGCACAGAGCTGTAAATACGGCTGTGTGAGTTGAAGCTGTGCAAAAAAGACCTTAATAATCATAGTCTGACAAATTGTGATTATTCCATACCCTTAAAATTTTTTCTCAAAACATTAGAAACTCCCTTTCACTGTTGGTTATAAATGTATAGGGAAGTGAAAAAGAGCAAGACTAATATTTATTTAGAACACTGCAATTTACAACATTAGAAACATTGAGAATTAGAACATTTAACTTATTAAAAATTTATCAAAAGTAGTTTCAACAGTGCATGCCTCTACTTTTCATAACATAACTCACACTATGGAGCGAGCATCTTTTCTGAGCCTTGGTGAACCACTGCACTCCCTTCCAAGTTTGGATCAGCTTCCAACACTTTGTCCTTTGCACTTACGCTGCTGTGGAGTAGCTCTGAGTTTCTTTAATGTGAAGGGATTTTTTTGCCAGCATCACTTCCACCAGGACACCTTCATCCTTTCTGTCACAAATTCTTCCCTCATTTATGTTGATAAGTTCCCCCTTCAACAGGTTGTTCTGGCTTCATATCTGGGGTCTCTTCAATGGTGGCAGTTCAACATTTTCATGGTCAGTTCTTTCTTCTATACCCCTATTTATGTTCTATTAGAATTTCACCCCAAGAGCTATAACTTTTCCTTTCTTTGCTGCAACTTGATCTTTGTTGGCCAATTCTCTCTTTTGATCCTCTATTTTTGTGAAGTGTTATGTGGGTTTATCACTGAGAGGCAAGGAGGCAACACAGCTATGTGCTTTGCTGATTGTGCACGAGCTGAGTAACAGGCACACAGTGACCGAGTGCTGATGTATTCTGAAACAGGCAACAGGATTAGTTGCTGATCACGGTGCACATCTGTTATTTATGTAGTGATCTGTGGACTGAAGAGCTGGAAGTGAAGTTTGCAGTTTACACAGGTGCTCACAGTGAACGCGCCATGAGCTCTGAAATCTGAATAGCGTTGTTGAGGGACTGGCGCTATTCAGTCAGATACAACAACTGAATGTATGCATACTGGAGCCAGGCAAAGTGAGGACTGCCTGTACTTACAGTATCCTGAGATGCGTGAATTCTCTCATTTAGTGTTCTCAGCATTTGAAGAGGAGAGAAAACTAATCATTGCTCTGGCTTTCTTGATGTGATTCTTCAGAAACCTTGACTATAAATTCAAGAAATGTGTGGTGTAGAAATCAAGGAAATTTACTACGACTGTCACTTAAGTAGGCTCATTTTAGGTTAAATTACACTGTGGCATGAGGTAGAAAAATCAGTGGACTTTAAAACAGAATTTGGTTCACTGGGGAAGATGTCCTACGAACTTGTTTGGAAACACGGGAATTTTTGAGGAAAGCACTAACCATTCTGTCTTTAGACTGCTGTTCTAATCTGCAGATCCTGGATTTGAGCTGCGACATTTCCCACCTCCAACCAGCCCTGCTTCAGACTGGTCCCCACCATCCATGATGGCAAAAGCCAGCTCCTTAATATCCTGTTGCTACTTTTCTGAATTCAGTGGGTTTTGTATACTGACAGACTCCTTAGTTTGTCTGAAAGTCAAGGGGAGATAGTCAGCTCTGTCCTGAACGGGTTTTTCTTCAAACTGCAGGGCTCGTCCCTACACTTGCGTACTAAATGTAAAGGTACATAGTTATACCACCCCCTAGCTGTTTTTCCAGTTGTTGAATATACTGTGTAGTGTTTAACTCAGATACTTAAGGCTTTCCATTTGTCTTTATTTCAAAAATCTGAACTTGGCTAGCATATACTGAGCTCAGTGTTTGAAATTTAAATGTAAATAAATTAGCATGCCTCGTGTTTGTGGATTTGCTTTCCCAGTAACTGACCTACTCAATGACTCGGTGGGTCAATTTACACAAGTAGGGGGTTCTTGTGAGAGGGGTGAGGGGAAGTGGGCAGGGTTCTGTGCCTCCCGAATATTTGCTTTTTGCTCGCCTTTAAGCACGGCAGGAAAAGCTTGTTTCCCTTTGGCTATTGGGACCCTTTACCAGGATTAGCTAAAGGCATGGGTTTGGGTTTAGGAAAAATAAGGCCTTGAGTTGCCTACCTTTATGGGGCCATTGCCTAACTCACTGCATTTGCAGTGTTTCTTTTCCAGGTCTGTTTAATAAGCCTTTGGGGCATAAGCCCTTTTCTGTTCCAAGAGGATTTTCCTTCCAATTGCATTTGGGGATGCTGCTTGTGTGCCCAGTATTAAAAAGGTTTTGCAATTTTGCATCAGTATTGGCCTTTTTTCTCCAGCTCTGCTAATTGATCCCTTTTAATAAACTGAATGTTTGGTTAAAAAAAAAAAAGAACTAAAAAACTTGGTTGAATTACAGTTGATTTTCTTTTAAGAGAAAAGCAAGAAATTTTACATGATTTTCTTTAGTTTTAATCATTTAACTACTTTTTCAGATCTTTGCATCTTTTTAGTTGTCACTCTTCTTGTACCTTGAATAAAGAGTTCACGCAAGATCAAATGTTAAATGTACCCCATAGCCTAAAACAAGTTTCTCAAAACAAGTCTCATTTTAAAGGCCTGTTTGCATTCAGTCTCCTTGAGGACTAACTGCACATGCAGAGATAGGAATTTTATAACTGGGACCCTTTATATAACTGGCCTCTCGGAATGACAGCAAATTGTTGGCATTATCTCTTAAAATGTCTAATAATGGCTTATCACCCTGATTTCAGAAATATTCATCAGGGTACTTCTGCACAATCTCCCCCCAAAAGATAGAAGAATAAATTATTTTAACTATCCCAGGAAGACAGTATTACTTTTATAAACATAAAGTTATTTTAGATCTGAATGAACCAACCAACATTAAGGTATTCATCCAATGACGGCAGTCACTGTATTCTACTCTGGTTTTTATTTCAGCCACCTCAACAGGAGAAACAGCAATGTAAATAGATAATTTAAATATAGTTTGGCAAGTGGGGAAGGGTAGTCACAAGATGGCATGAGACTATTAGAGAAGCACCAAACCTAGCTTTGTGGGAAACAAGGGAAGTCTGGCCAAGCGAGCCCTGAAAGACAGCAGGAACCACCTCAGCAAAGAAGGGAGGATGGATGGTTCTTGCAAGAACCACAGATTCAAAGGCCTGGAGACAAGAGAAAGAGAACGATGAATTCCAGAAACCAGAAGAAGTTCTGTGGGAGAGCCGAGGCTAGAGAGGTAACATTTATGCCATGCTAAAGAACTTGACCATGACAGTAACAGAGAGCCAATGAAGCGCTTTCAAAGGACAGTAATATGTTCTGATTCACATTTTAGGGACATCGTTTCAGCAGCTGCTTTGAGTAGATGGGAGTGGAGGCAGTGAAGAAGACAGAGACCAGCTGAGAGACAAAACAGGCTCAATCTAAGTCAGCAGCAGCGGGAATTAAGAGATGGGGCAGATTCTAGAGGCACTAAGGAGGTGGAATCAAAAGGACTTTGTGACCACTTTGGATACTGCGGGTGATTCAGAGTTTTCTGGCTTGGACAAGTAAGTGGTTATACTAAATAAAATACAGAATAAAGGAGGAAGGTCATGTTGTAGGAAGAAAAATGGTTATTTAATTTGGAAAAATTTTGACTTTGAAAGGAACGTGAGGCATACAATGAGACTTCCTGCCTCAGATTAAAACTATGTTGCTTTGTTTCTGCTCTTTGGATGGTCTGAGACTGGTAACTCTGTAACTGGGTGGGGAGGCAGCAACACTGGCTTCACCGGCACAGGGAAGCAATGTGTAACCCTTTGAAAACAACCAAAGGGCAGCCTCTTGTTGGAGGGCAGACTGACAGCTTTATTGTCCAGGACAAAGGGTACAAATAGCCCCAATGTATTTGTGTGTCTGAACGAAAAATGGCCAGGAAACGTCTCAGATGGTTAGACATTATGTTTTAGATGGTTCACGGCCTGAGGAGTAGCAATGTGTAAGCACAAGGTTGCAGGACTTGTGTAATAACCCTGTGACAGTGACTAGAAGATTCACCTGGGACAGAAGACTTGATCTTCGCTCTGTTCTAGTACACCCAAAAAAGGGCCCAGGTGACCCACGGCCGGCTATCAGAGCTCTCCATCGTGGTCACCAGTCAAAATGCCTAATACTGAAAGCCATACAACCCACTTTTTATCTTTTCCCAAGTGTAAATAGGAAGGTAATTTAAACCATTTTTCACTTACATGGAAAAATATCTCAATTATCTGTTTTTGCCTCTGTTGTATGGTTCATTCCCAGAGTTGAACACAGCAGGCAGATTCTTAAATTCTAAAGCCTTTAAAAGGTAAGAAATGTAAGTCATGTATTTACTATAACAAGAAAGGAAGAAAGAAAGGAAGAAAGGAAGGAAGGAAGGAAGGAAGGAAGGAAGGAAGGAAGGAAGGAAGAAAAAGAAAGAAAGAAAGAAAGAAAGAAAGAAAGAAAGAAAGAAAGAAAGAAAGAAAGAAAGAAAGAAAGAAAGAAAAGAAAGAAAAGAAAAGAAAAGAAAGAAAGAAAGAAAGAAAGAAAGAAAGAAAGAAAGAAAGAAAGAAAGAAAGAAAGAAAGAAAAGGAAGAAATCTGTCTTTGTGTAGTATTCATGATC